CCCGGCTGGACACGGCCGGGCTCGTGGGCGAGCGGGCGCCCGCGCCCCTTCCCGCCGGGCGCGGCTGAGGGGCGGCGGGCGGAGCGGCGCTGCCGCCCCGGCGGGCGGTAACGGCCACTAACGGTCCCTAACGGCCGGGCCCCCTCGCCGCCCCGGCGGGCCGTAACGGCCACTAACGGTCCCTAACGGCCGGGCCCCCTCGCCGCCCCGGCGGGCGGTAACGGCCACTAACGGTCCCTAACGGCCAGGCCCCCCTAGCCTCCCCGACGGGCGGTAACGGCCACTAACGGTCCCTAACGGCCGAGGCCCCTCGCCGCTCCGGCGGGAGTTAACGGTCGGCTCTTGGCCTTCCCTTTAAAAAAAAAAAAAGAATAAAATAGTCTGTCTAGATAAAGTTGTTCTGTATATGGTATGAAATATGCCTTTTAAAATAATTTAAAGGTTTTTTTTTACTTTTTTTTTTTTTTTTTTTTAAAAAGGATTTCATTGTAATATCATCTGATCTACACGACTTGTTTGCAGAGTAAACGTGGGGGAGAGGAGGCTTAAGCTGAATGCGCGCTGGCTCTCAAGAGCAGCTGGCAGGTTTATTAACGTGTTCCCCACCGCTTTCGGAGCAGTGAGGTGCCTTTGAAACCGTGCCCTTCCCTTCAGGGAAATGTTTTACACTTTCCCACTTTTATTTATTTATTTTATTTCCCATGAAATGCTGAAAGATGCAAATTCTGCCCAAATTGCACGGTCCTGACTCTGAGAATGAGTAATTGGTTGCTGTTGATCCTTCAGTGGCCTCTCTCTCAAATGTTTATATCTGTATTCTGAAACTTGGGTATCATCAATGCTCAAATGTGTGTAAAGTGCCGAATGCTTTCAAAAAATCCCATTTCTTTTGCTTGATAGTATGTTTGCTTTAAATCTCTTTTTTTTTCCCCTCTTTAATTTTTGTCAGACTTTCTTTGAATTGGCTTCTTGCAACTTTCCCATTAAATAATAGTTTCTCCTACAGAAATTATTCATTCTTCTTACTTCATTGAAACCTAGTAATAAGACTGTTGAAGAAGCAAAGGTTTCCTTGTATTTTTTCACTTAATGTAGAAATCAGTGAAAGTAATTTTTATTACAGTGATTATAGTAGTTCAGAGCTGAGAGTGAGCGAATAGGTGCCTATTTCAGTTGAGGATATAGCTGTATATATGACTTCTGAGGATGCAGATGGAAGCTTTCTGTGCTCTTCTGAGAGTCCTGTAATGCACATTGAAGTCTGATTTATTCCTTCTCTATTTGGGATATGACCTGTAAAGAAAAATAAGGGTCTCCTGTTCGATTGACAAGCTTATTACATGAGCACTAGTGGGATAAAAAATGTTATTTTCTTTGAAAACACTAGAGGAATTCACTACCAATTTGTTTAGCATGAAGTTTAGAATAGGACTGGAGCATTTATAGAGCTGGTGGGTGCTATTTGCAAAGGAATAAGGATTCTGTGAGGTTTCTTACAACCATTCAGAAATATTTATTTCTTCTTCATCTTAACCTTGTGGATTTCAAACATATCCATAATTTTTCTCATAGAAGTATTTCCAAGAAAACTGTTCAGAAATTCAATCAGTAACATTCAGTTTGTACTTACTTGCATAAAAGCTTGAAACCCAAACTCTGAACACTTACAGTTTTGTCTGTGAATACAACAAATATAGTTTATATTTAAGCTTATTATTGGTAGCGTTTGTGAAAACCAGATTTTTGTCCAATGTGTTTAATAAAAAACACAGTTATAAAAATTGTATGATCATAATAAGTTTGTAACAATCAGGAATATGCAAGAGTTTTTGGAATGTCAGTGTTAATTATAGGAAGTAATACTAAAGGAACTAGCTAGTAATATGCAACCTGAATAGTGAGCTTTCATTAGGAAAATGAAAATACACACATTTTTTTGGATCTCATGAGAACATCACAGATGAAAGGTAATTTGACTGTGTGAAAAGTTTGCCTTAAATTCACAAAGTACTTAAAGGATGTTTGGTTTAAAGTCTTCTTAAACACATAAATATAGGTACTGATGCTGACAGTTCAACAGCTCATGTCTGAAGTTGCTTGTAGATATAAGGAAGAAAAAAAAAATCCAAAGTGTAATTCAGAAGGCTTCTAATTAGTTACTATGAGATACATGGAACTGAACAAAAAAAAATGGCAAAATCTCTCTACAGAGAAACTGGTTGTGTTGTGAGAGTTGAACTGTTCTTTCAGTGTGAAACTTGACTCAGTATAATATGAAAATACCCTAGGAAGTCTTATTAGTGATAGATGAAAACAATAATGCATTTTGCTCTTTCTTGTATTTCAAAGAAGTTTTTAAGTAGGCATCCAACTTCAAGGCTTTTAATTTGAGGAGTGAGTCTGTTTGTATTGTGTCTCATATTGAGGATTTTAGCTTTCTTTTATTTTTTTATGTGCTTTTATGTTTCGTAAGGCTCTGTACCATATGTTTTATATTTAATTTGTTCAATGACTGCTGAAGTGCAGTTGACTTTTGGTGAATGTGGTAACTGTTAACTAGTGCTTAGCAACAGTGCTCAATAATCAAGACGGGAAGTGCGGGAGAGTAGCATGTCTAATTGAAACTGCAGGGGGCATTTAGGTAGGTAGGATGTAATTAACAAAACCTGGGGCTTAGACCTGGTATTAAGGCCTCATTTCTCTTTTTCCTTTAAAAAATAAATAAATAAATAAAGTGAAATCATTAGCATAAAAACATTTCAGAGTTTTTAAAAATGTTTTTATGTCTCAGACTTTACAGCATTTTTGAGATGCTCGTATTTTGCTTTTTCCTGCATGATAACCATTGCTCACACATAATGCAGAGCAGTCCTTTTCATTTTCTTATGAAAGAGAGTTTTGAGCCTGCTGGTTGGAAGGGTGACAAATGAAGGAGTAACAAGCCTTGATGTTTTGACGGTGATACATTATGGACAATCAGTCCTGTGAAGTGCAGTTCGTTACATATAGTGAGCAATTAAGATCTCTCTCATGTTCTGAAGTAGATTAAAGCAATCTTAGAATGACAGTAAACTTTTATGATCTCAATGTAATTATTTTTTTCTAAGCAACACTGACTTTCTTCAAAACCTCTGCTCTCATGAGCTCCCAGAGGTGCCTTGAAAAGTGCTGCTTGTGTGGATATTTGCTTGGCATCTGTGGATGGTGGAAAGTTGGGAAAACAGCTGAGTTTTGCATAGTGCGGTGATTGGTTTGGGAATAACAACTGGAAATATGGAGCTCTGTGCAGAAACTACTCTTAAAATGTAATTATTTTTGATTTGGGTGATTCCTGAGTCTACATCAGCTGGTTTCTGTTGTCTTTTTCTGTCATGCTGTGATGTCACAACCTCTGTGAAATGCTGTGGGAATATTAAAAGCCATGGAGGATTGCATATGTGAATAACTTATTTATTTGATGTTGTTCTGATCGACTTAACCTTGTAACTCCCTTGGCACTTCAGAAATTTAGTGTATTTTTTTTAAATGTTCTTCAGATCTTAAACCAGGTATTATAAATTTGAACTTAATTTATGTCTTTAAACTTTTTGTTACAGTTATTCTGCAGTAACTAATAAAATGTTTATAGAGGCTTGTCTAGGGACTGTCTGTCGTCACATAAAATCAGCAGAGTAGAAAGATGGTAGAGAGCAGCCTGAATCATCACGACAAGATGGGATAGAAACCTTCAATTAATATTTCCCATGTAAGGTTTTGGGTTATTCTGAGGTAGGTTTTCGAATTGATGAAGCTATGAACAGCAAAACAGTGTGGGCAGACTTAAAATACTGTTACTTAAGAGATTACCAGACATCTGCCACAGGGGTTCCACAAACAAGCCTGGAGTGACTCGTTTCATAAAATGCTGTGTAAAGATCCTCTAATTTATTCTCCCAACTCTACTGCAGTCTCTGATTACATTTAGTGGCTCAAGACTCTTAGTGTGATCTGAGCAGAGCACTTGAAGGCCCGTGAAGAAGTTACTTATTGATTGGAACTGTGGTCTGAAATGTACTATGTTAATGGTGGGTTTTTTTTTTTAATTTTTTTTTATATAAGATAGACTCATTTGTGCATCTCACTCACAAAAGCAATGGGACTTTCCTGATGTGTGCAGTGCGAAGTTGTTTAGAT